GGAAACTCTTTTAAAATATTCAGAGTATACCTTCAAAATACTGCAGATTATATCCCTTCTATGGCGATAAGCATACTAAACCTTGACACTTGGGATTTGCGATAGACTTACCTCCACCTGGTACACCCTGGGCAACGTATACTCATACAGCAGAAAAGTCTAATAACCGGCAGTTGACTTCAAACTACCATGACCCCGCTGTATGTCATATTTGACTTCTTCCACATTACTCGCCTCACCTTTTTATTCCCCCCTCTCTCGACTTTTTTCACTCTGATGTTCCTTCCCCTCTGTGGAGCCTGATGTCCACAAAGGGCTAATGGTAACTATCAAAACGCCCGCCATTTGATATAAATAAATACCTTTACACTTTCTCAAAAAGCATTTAAATAGCTAAATCAACATCTTGAGATTTTTGTCACATTCGTGGTGTTAATATGATTTACAAGGTATCACATCTTTCCGATAATAGGCAGTTCATCATAGTCATGAGCTTATCATTAGATTTACCAAGGCCAACCGGATTGTCTTACAAATGGGAGACTGAAACTCTCCAAGAACCACAACTTCTGTTAGTAGTTACCTGCTGAAAAGATGAAACTCAATACCCATTAATATCAATTGAGTAATTTAATGTAAAGTCTCTTCGGATCACTGGCTTTCGGTAAATTAGGGTTTCTAGTTTATCGATTTTGAGATGGGAATCAGACATTCTTTCCTTAACTGTTAGAAGCATAATAACACTTACGTAAATGCCATGTCTTAACGATCACTAGAATTCTTGTTATTCGCTTAGACGCCTGTTAAAATCTGCTGATAAAATGAAAAAGCGTAATTGTTTGATTGAAAAGCAGGCAACTTGCAAGTATCACTTCTGTGTCATGATATGAAGAAGTAAAGAGCGTTCATTTGGTATTTGATCTGCTATTAGACCAATCAAATTCGACTCCGAAGCACTCTGAGATCAACATTTATCAATAATTGGCTTATTCTTTTCTAACCAATTATAATGAAGCAATATCTAGAAATGGTAGTACATTTAAGCCAATTAGCTACTTTCGAGCCAAATGACATGTTCTCTCCATTTTCACTGAAATCTTAGCCAATTAAGGGAATTTATTCTCAATATTAGCTGGTAAAGATATGATACTATAATTCATAAAATGAGTACGTACCCAACCCTGTAAATAAGTCAAAAAACGGCAAGTGAATACCACTAATAGTAAAATTTATACACGCAAAGAACCAATTGGATCAATCTTTTCACTTTTTACTCTTTGCTTAACTTACGAAATACAAAAATTAAAGGGTTTGGTTGGATAACTAAACTGGACAGTTATTAAAAACGCTATTTAGTTATTATAAGTATAAAAGAGCAGTCCGCTCTTATTCCTGATAATCGTGATAGCTCTTGCTGTGAAAAGTCAAAACTGGTCAATATGAAACCGAAGGTGATAATAAGCAAAAATTGACAATAAGTGAATACAGTAAGAATATTAATGAGAGTCGTTTATAGGATACTTAAATATTGATATGATTTCGTGGCCAAGTGCTAGAAGATGTACAACATGAACAACTCTGATCTTCATTGATTGAGTTCAAACGGTCTTTTAATGTTACCAAAGGTGTGCGTGGCCTGAAAAGGATAAGACCTTATAAGAAAATGTGAAGCCCAATGTAATAGAATACAAGAACACCTTTTGGCAGGGATGATGTGTCCAAACTTCATCAATCACTGCGAGCTAAAGATGTTGCTTAGGAGTTGGAGATAGCAATCACACTACCCACTTCTTGTAAACAAGGTTGAAAATTGGAAAGTTGAGTTGCGTTAAAGGAGTGTTGTCACTATGGCAGTAGGGTCGTTTCCACTCCATATCGCCATTTTATGCCCCCTGTTCTTCAATTCTTATTCCATAAGGGAATTTTTATTTTGACCAGACTTTAAATTCTATTTTTTAATGCCTATTCTTCCTTCCCTCACACCCTCAATTCTCTATTGTGCTGCAGTTTTGCTTATTTTGGAAAAGCCATTGTTTCCTCTGCTTATTAGCTCATTTTAAGTCTTGTAAGTTGTGCTACTCTGTTCTCCCAAAATCCACGAAAATTCCGGTTATCACGAGTTCATGGTTTCATATGTAGATTCCACGCTTTGAAATGTACTTGTCGTCAAATAGATACTTTTCTCCATTACCGTGTCATTGCTAGGTGTCACCTGAAACTATTTAGGAGGTTTCTACTTTGCGATGGCAAAAAATTTTTTTCATAAGGATTTTGGTACATATAAACTGACTGGTTGCCTGATTAGTTAATAATTGCAGTAATAATTGAGCGAATTACCTTCCTGGATGTCAGCGTGAAAACCTAAAAATTGGTAATCAAGTGCATGGGGATAATTCTTGTGAACTTTGTCCAGATCTATCAATGACATTCTGATCACTTTTCTGACTTTTAGAATTGAGTTTTTGAGTGCTGGTTATTTCTTTCACAGTGTTATTCTTGTAAGTACGCAGTGGTATGCCAGAATTCCTCCAATTATTCCAAAATAATACTATTCACCAAGATACCTCCCAATTATGGCTATTAGTTCACAGAGTGACTAAGTGTGCCTAATCAAATGACCTTTAAAGAAATATATTTATTTCAAATGGCAGGCGTTTTGATAGTTATCATTAGCCATTTAGCTGACTTCGGGCTTCACAGAGGGAAGGTTCATCAAAGTAGCAGAAAGTCGAGAGTCAGAGAACAGAAGAGCGATTCACAGATGTAAAAGAGGCAGACAGACATAAAGGTAGGGAAAAGGACAGATGAGTACTGTGAAAGGGGCCGAATATGACAAGCAGTTGGGCCATGGTATTTTGAAGTCAGAAGTCAAATGTCGGATAATAGACTTTTTTGCCGTGTGAGTATACGTTGCCAAGGGTGCACCGCATGGAGGTAAGTCTATCGAACACCCCACCTTTAAAGAAATATAAACCCACTCAATCTCGCCAAGGTAAATCATAGTGAGAAATATGGTGGAGATCTAAGTTCAAAGGACCTAATTTATTACCACGATTATGCACTCAATTGAAGATAAAGAAAGGTCTTCGTGGAAAGCGTGCTGTATAATTTCTCAATTTACCTCTCAGCATATTGAAGAGTAGCTATTATTGTAAAATGTCATTCTTTTGAATAAGTAGTAAGAAAATCGATTTTTGATCTTTTAACGTCGTCGGTGTTCTTTCTCACCGAGGAAAAGCTTATGGTATGCCATCTAACTCCGACTATCAATTCTCTTAGGTTCGTTACTAGTTCAACTCCAAAATGTTCTTCATTTCTCTGTTTTCTTCTACTTGAAGAATTTTGTATTATTCTCTCGAATTTTTATCATGTTGAAAAAGACGTATATACGCGTTTGTTGGCATACTTCAGTTACGCATGGCTCAATGATGCTAATGCCAGAAAGTACTTATTAACAAAGAACAAGTTCAATTCAGCTTGGTTATTTCAATGTCATCGTCTTATAAGCTTGTAATGCAANNNNTTGGATTTGGGTGCCACCGCATCAACTCTCCTAGCACAGCGGAGAGGTGCCTAGCATCATGGGCACTTGTGTGTTTCCTTAACAACAAATTATTCGTCATTTCTCCACCCGATTGCCACTGAGGTTGGAAGTGAATACCTTGAGGGAACTTAAATGGGATTACCAATAGTGGTGTCCAAACCAAACAGGCATTCTCTTCCTGTGACAAAGACGGAGTTTGGTCTTTGCTAACTTCTTCCACGCAATAGGTGGGAAATATGTGAAACAATTAATTATGAATGGCCACAATTGAGTGAAAAGGCTAAGGCTAGAGTCCTGTTTCATCAACAATTGAGAAGACTAAAGCAGAAATTAAAGGATAAATGTTCAGACTTATTTAAGTTAGCGGATTAGTTCTTCAACATGATAATGCCCGACCACCACACCACCTCATTCCAAACAAACCAAGAATAGCTTCTCATCCATTTAGTGCATTAAATGTGGGGGTTCTATCATATTCGCCAAAATCGCTAGACCTCATCCCAACCGATTATTATCTTTTCACACCCATGAAAAGCAACTGAAGTGATGGTTACCATGAAAGAATATTTTAAAACAGGGGTGTGCGATAGACTTACCTCCACGTGGTGCACCCTGGGCAACGTATACTCATGCGGCAAAAAAGTCTGTTAACTGGCAGTTGACTTCTGACTTCAAACTACCATCACCCCACTGCATGTCATATTCGACTCCTTTCACAGTACTCACCTTACCTTTTCCCTGCCTTTGTGTCTGTCTGTCTGTCTCTTTTACATCTATGAATCATTATTCTGCCCCCTCTCGACTTTTGTCACTTTGATGTTCCTCCTCCTCCTCTCTGTGAAGCCCAAACTCAGCTAAAGGGCTAATGATAACTATCAAAACGCCTGTCATTTGATATAAATAAATATTTTAATACAAAACCAAACCTTTTCAGCAGGAGGTGGATGCACTATGAGAGAAAGGGAAAAAAGCTGGAACTGTTGACGGGAATGGCATTTCATAGTACTCTAATTGTAATCCAAAAATAAATATAATTTAAATATCGTTTTTCAAAAGAGCGATTTCTTTAAAGTGCCCCTAATCTTTATTCAAGTCCTGAGGAAGTTTTGAAATGCAATGAAATTTGAGCTTTTTATGACAGTTTGCAAAAATGAAATCATCCATTTTACATAAAATTGTTACTAAGGCCGGGAAGTGACTTGCTTACGACAGCGTTAGTGAAAGAAACAATGCTTGTCATCAAATCAGACGGCCATTGCTTTCTCTAATCCAGGTTTTGATTATCCGAAAGCTGCTATTATGTTTTTAGTAGGAAATCTGGAAGACAAGTCTCGTACCTAACCAATGGGAAGTTGCCATAGTAATACCAGTACTAAAAAAGGGCAAAGACCCTAGCAACTTTGACAACTATAGGCTCCTCTCCCTCACAAGCGTGCTGGCTAAACTTACGGAAAGAATGGCTTCAAGCGACATCAGCGAGCATACACGCCGCAAAATAATTGACGATCCTGGTTCTGGTCACAAACCAGTCATTGCTAGTATTACCTTCGGCAGCAAAAGCATGACATAGAAAATGGCAACTAAGCTATCATGGAACTTCAAGAAGGCTGACTGGCCTAGATTCACAAACCTTTTAGAGAATGAACTTCACACAAGTCTCCTCAACTTCAACCAACATCCTGACAAACTTTGCACTGCTATCACGAATTTTATGATCAGATGTGCAAAGAAAACTATTCCCCAAGGCAAGACTAAACACTATCGAGTGTATTGGTCTAGACACCTTGAGGAACTGAAAAGAAAGAGGGACGCCCTTCGCAACACTGCTGATCAGACTGGAAGAACGGAAGACGTACAAGCCTGGAGACGACAACCAGCTGTCTTAAGGCAAGCCATCTTACAAGCTAAACGGTCTCTCTTCGACAAGTTCATCTCAAATATCAACTATCAAAGTGATAGCCAACGCACTTTCAAATTCCTGGGTAACCTCCAAAACAACATGGAAAGACCCAAGAAAGAACCAATAGGTTTTAAAAACAAACTGCTTACCACGGACTCCAAAATCGTTAACTGCTTTGCGAGGTTCTATTCCCACAAGCAAAAGAAAACACTTTTGTCAGAAAATCTTCAAGAGATTTAAAGATACAAGTAAGACAATTTGGTGAAATTAAGGAAGACATAGCAACACCAAATAATGTAATTACTGAACCATTTAGACCTTGCAAACTTAATGCTGCAATTAAACAGCTAAAGTGCAAAAAGTCTCCTGGTGAAGACGGTATTCATCCGGAATTTCTAATTAGAATGGGACCAAAGCCAACGAAACCATGCTGACGCTTTTCAACAAAATCTGGGAGACCAGTCGCGTCCCTTGAGACCAACAAAATTCTTAGAAATGAACAAGCAAATTTTAGGCCGCAAATATCAACTAACCAACAAGAAATCACATTCTCCCAACACATCAAAGATTCCCTTGATGCAAGAAATACTCTTACGGCTGTTTTCGTCGATTTCAAATTAGCTTATGACTTAGTATGGTAAGAGAAGCTAATTCTAAAACTGCCAAAGATTGGTATTAAGCATAACATGCTCAACTGGATAAAAGCATTCATTGGACAAAGATCGTGAAAAGTCAGATACGGAAATGCTCTATCAAAATCCAATCTTTTACAAACAGGTCTTCCACAGGGAGCTGTCACAAGCTGCACTCTTTTCAATGTCTTCATCAATGACATAGCCGAATTGGTACAGACAGTCACGGACACAAAGTGTTTACTTTTTTGCAGATGATCTTGTTCTGTGATATTCCGCCCCTAAGAAAAACGCTAAGGAGAGGACAGAAAGTGCTCTTAATAGTGCACTTAAACTACTAGCAAACTGGTCTGACAACAATGGAATGGTAATCAACACCCATTGATGCAATGCCCCTGGTTACAGGGAGCACCACAATATGTTCCCTTATCAAAGACAAGGCCTTGATCCTATATGAGAAGCTACTGGGCATTCCCATGGATAAATTCTTCAGCACCTATGAGAATAGACCAAGACATCTGAAAACGCAATCTGGTCTAATACAGAAAGCCATAGAACTGAAGAAAGAATTACAAATCGATGACAGACCAAAAAGCCTCTCTCTATCCATGAACTCATTAGCAGACACTGAGGTAGTGTGTTGCATCAGGAAATCAAACACCCCACCAGAACAAATGCGCTCATTGGCCCTTGAGACAATCAACGTCAACTATCCTGGAGATCAATGGCTCCAAGTCTTCACTAATGGGTCACACATAGAAAACCAAGCAAACGTTGGTGCAGGTGTCTACTCTGAGCTCTTTTCTTTTTACGCAGCTGCGGACACAATAGATCCGCTTTCGAAGGAGAAATGGAGGCTATTATGATAGCACTATGCAATTATGTTGCCTGGATACGAAATTCACCAAAGCAGTAATACTTTCGGACCCACAGTCAGCAATAAACTCAATTGGAAACAGAGAGCAACCCAAAACAGCTGAGATAAACGAATGTAGAAAACTCTATCATCTACTGAGAGAGAAAAACAAAACAGTGGTCCTACAATGGATTCCTGGTCACTGTGGCATTAAAGGCAATGAGCTTGCTGACACACTTGCTAAGAAGGGGACAACGATTTTGCAATGCATGGACAGGCCGATGTCTTTCCACACAATGAAGACCTTTATCATGAGAGAGTTCAACACCCCAAGGTGCAACAAACTTAAAGCTCGAACAAAGGAGAAACAGTAGACAGTGGCACTCTCCGACATAGCCGACTGGTCGAGAATCGAAGCCGTTGCTGAGTTTAACTTTGGCCAAGAATCGAAGCCGTTGCTGAGTTTAGACTACGTACGGACGGATTGCCTGGCAAAACACCTTCAAAGATTGGGAGTATACACTGGCCTCACAAATTGGGATTATACACTCAACCCACATGCCCTCCATGTAACGTGGGAGTATACACTCAACCCACATGCCCCCTATGTAACCTAAGGAGGAAATGGAGAAGACCCACCTGATTCGGTGTCTAGCGATCAACCCACATGCCCTCTATGTAACCTACAGGAGGAAATCTGGCGAAGCACCTTCACAGATTAGGAGTATACATATGCCCCCTATGTAATCTACAGAAGGAAATGGAGAAGACCCACTTGAATCGGTGTCCAGCCTTAAAGACAACGACAGCAAGCCAGAGACATTGGGAAGCAAGAAGACAGATAATGAATTGCTATTAATTAACTACTATATATGTACCCCCCCACCCTTGGGGGAAGCTGAAGTCAAATTTTAAGGGCTGATGATAAATATCATAAAGCCTGTCATTTGAAAAAAGTTTTTGGTAGGATGTGCGTGGGACAATCCATTACGAATCGCAATAACATTAGGGCCGAAGTATTAAAAGTTGGAGTTTACTGTTTTTAGCTATTCATGAGCCTAGTAAATAGAAAAAAATCGGATAGTTCTTTAATATGGCAATGCCTGCTCCACATCAGGCAAGAAAGACTCCCAAAGAAAGTTCAGGAATTAAATGAGGAAGTTCTACCACATCCGCCGTGTTTAATAGACTGCACCCCAAACTCATTGTCGTTTTTACAATACCACCATCTTTTCAGGTTCATGAAGCACATTGAAACTGAATAATAATGTTTTCTCAATATGACTGAGGTGGAAAGGTACTTGAACGACTATTTTACTCGAAGAATCGGCAATGAGGTGAAAGTACCTTACACACACAACATTTAGGCGTTGCCTTTAAAATGCGCGATTTCTTACTGGCATCTTTAACACTTACCGGTAAACACCAGCTCCATCTATACTAATGCATTCTAACGCTTTTAGATTTTCTAAGGTTGAAAACTGAATTAGTTGAACTCTAAAGGAGTGACAGATAATTGTGAGCGAATTCAAATCAGACTTGATGAGTGCACAACGGTGTTATTGCTGAACAAAGAAATCTCATGAGTATTCAGACAGACTCAAAGGTGCGGCCGTGCTGCTTGTTGCGTAGGTAGCAAGTGATGTTATGATCGTAGAGACTTCTCAGCCAGGCACCAATCAATAATCCCACCATTGTGTAGTAAACCCTTCAGTGTGTTCTACAGACTATGCTCCTTGTCTGTAGGCCACGCCAAACGTTTGTTTTTTCTACGCTGTTGAGGTAAAGTATTTAAACCTGGGATCCATTCTAAGCTAAACTGGAAGAACTTGCCATAGAGATATTATTGAGCATGACCCAGGGCTTGATAGTGCAGCAGCGAACCCCGCCACAAACTTATACTCGAAGTTCAAGTTAAAATGAGCCAGAAGCAAGCATAAATTATGAATCATTTTACTATAAATTAATTCTACATTCTCTAATTCATTAAATATGTATCAATTAAAATAAGCTAATTGGCTATTTTCATCTGAGTATCCGCAGGATTTTTCACTTTGGCCTCTTCAACAGGCGGATCCTTTTGATTTTCCTCCATCACTTCTCCACCTTCGACTTCAATTTTCTTAGATTCCAAAAACTCCTTCATCTTACGCACATCTCTCCCGAGGTCTTCCTTGCCAACGAGGGTTGTCAGTTCAAAGATCTCACTCATGGCATCGAAGGTCTGCTGCATCAAATTTCCAGCGTCAGCAGTAGTAAGGCCTTCCGTTAGAATTGGTTTCAGAATGTAGACACCATAGGTAGCTACAATATTGGAAGAGGTGCAGGCAATAACGGACTGTTAAACAGAGTGCGGGATTTCAGTTATTTTAGTTTACTATAAAGATAGCGTCAGTTAATCCAAGTATTCAATAAATGTAACGGTTTGAAATAAAAGTAGCTTCAAATTTTATCGAATCATAAAGCTTCTAAAAAAGATATCAAACTTAGAAACAAATATCAATTAATTTGCATTTTACTTTCCTTGTTACCCAATACAGACCTTTTCATCTTAGATTGGAATTGCCGGGGTTTACTGAAAATCCGCCCAGGGTGGTTTAACGGAAAATTTCATTTCAAGAAACTATCTTAGAGCCAAATAACCCCCCACCCGATTGACTTTATTAATAATCATTTTTATAATTAGATTAGATATGTTCAAGCTAAATGACAGGGGAAGCAAGATATTATTAACTATATAAGGAAGTAATGATCCTAATTTCTTTATTCTAATGGTTAGAAAATCTTCTTTTGAAATAGATTAATGAAAATTAGCTATTCAGGCCAAATGTATATCTGAAATTTTTACTATCTATGGGTTTTCTAAGAGAGCAAATAAGGAATTCGTGCTGTCAACTCTCCTGCCTCAAAGAAATTCATATTCATTAACTTATTCATATTAGTACATGGAAAAAATATTGAGTGTATAAATATTAACTTCAAATGTATTTTATTTATTTATTTCGAATGGCAGGCATTTTGATAGTTATCATTAGCCCTTAGCTGACTTCACAGAGGGGAGAAACATCGAAGTTAGAAAAATTCAAGAAGGTAGACCGAAGAGTGATTTACAGATGTAAAAGAGACGGGCACAATGATAGTGAGTTGGGTAAGGTGAGTATTGTAGAAGTGGCCGACTATGTCATACAGTGAGGTCATGGTAGTTAGAAGTCAGAAGTCAACTGCCGGTCAATAGACTTTTTTGCCGTATGAGTATATGTTGCCCAGTATTCACCACGTGGAGGCAAGTCTATAGCACACCCAATAAAAATAATTAAAATTAAACATATTGGTGACTTTCATGTCTACTTAAATAATAACAGTAGGTGTGAAATTTATTTATATCAAATGGCAGGCGTTTTGATAGTTATCATTAGCCCTTTAGTGGACTCCAGGCTCTACAGAGGGGAAGGAGCATTTGTCAAATATGACATACAGCGGAGTCATGGTAGTTTGAAGTCAACTGCCGGTTAATAGACTTTTTTGCTGTATGAGTATACGTTGCTCAGGTTGCACCACGTGGAGGTAAGTCTATCGCATACCCCATAGGTGTGAAATTAAATTATGGAAGAAGGTGAAAATATGATGCGCTATTTTCAATAGCATTAAGATGCAGATAAATAAAAAATATTGATC